CGGGGGGCTGCTCCTGGGCAGCTTTTTCTTAGTGTTCGTTCTGGGTTTGCTTTTCGCTTTTTTGGTGGCCTCGCTCTGCTTGAAGGGGGAGCGGAGGGAGTGGTCCATCATGAAGCTCAGCAAGGTCTCCTCGTCCTGCAGGAGCTCCTAGGAGAGGCCGGGGGTGCTGTCCTCGTGGTGGGACTTGTTGAGGGCCCACTAGCGGTGATCTGGACCGACTGCGCCAGCCAGCTGTTGAAGAAGGTCCCGTCGATGGGGAAGGAGGTCGACAAGCCTGGAGGAAACAAAAGGAGGAAGATTTCCTTCAGAGGCCAGGAACAGCCCTTCGACACCACCACCAGCTTCACCAGAACTCCCCAGCACTGGAGCAACACACAGACAACTGTAACACGCCACATCGGGGCACTGAAGAGGGTCTACTCCAGCACTAAGGCTGAATTTGGGGTTCACTGAGGTCACAGCACAACAGCCTGAGTGGTCCCTGCATCCAACACCCCACCAGCCTCCACGAAACTAAACGGAGCAGCAAAGACACTGAGACCCCACCCGCCCCAGCACGGCTGGAGAATACATCCCCCTGCAAAGGCAGCAGCCACACAACCCAAGTGGAAGCCTAAAAGTTGGGTCACTGCTAGCAGAGAGGGACTCGTGCCCAGGCGAGGGGTGGCAGGGTCCCACGGGGCCACCACGTGCTGCCAAACCCCCAGGGGTGGGTGATGGGTGAGCAGGGTGGGCAGTGGGTGGTGGGACTGGTGCCAAATCTGCAGGCAGAGGCAGGGAGGGAGGTCTGGGAACACCTCCGAACACCTGAGAGGTGTGAAAACTGAAGCTGAGCAGCAGAGATGACAGGTTGGAATGGAAAAAGCTGAAAAACTTCCTACTAATGATCTCTGTGAGCAGGAGGGAGCATTATGGGCTGGGTTGGGTCTCGTTTGCAACCCAACCCTGCACCAGCACACGTGCTGTTCATCCCCCAACGTGAGAAACCCACGGGCTCAGCATTGTCAGAGCTGGTCTTAAGGATGGAGGAGAAATGAGGTTTGATTTTTGACTTCAGTGAGAGCTTTCCTTTTAAAGCAGTCAGTCTAGCCCCAGAAGAGAGGCAGTGGCACGGGCAGGGTGACTCAGGTTGGCAGGGTTTGATGGGGATGAGCTCAGAGCATCACGTGCTGAACAGTCCAAGGTCCTGCCAAGCTCACCTTGCCCCAGCTCTTCTCTGATGACTGCAGCCCCAAGCCCTTAACAAAATCCAGAAGGTTGCAAGACCCTGGTGAAGCTCTGAGTGGGCTTCCTGCTTTCCCAGGCTCACAGAAGTGCAGAGACACCCCAGCCCTCCACCATTTGATGGCATTCCACCCAGAAAATCCAGAGTTTCTTTCACAATGACAAAAGCCCCATTTCCAAAGGGCTTCCTGCCTAAAACCCAACAGCTTTGAGATGAACAGAAAGCAGCAGAGTCGGGGTGAGCATCAGGCAAAGTAGAGCAAGATGGGCTCCACACCCCCAGCAGAAACCTTCTGTACCCCCAGGAGGGTTTTTAAGTTACCCCCAGGCTGTCCGAGAGCCCCATGGGACCAGTGCAACCCCTGTGCACCCATGGGGCAGCCAAGCTCAAGTGAAGCTATCACCTCCTGCCCCACATGGTGGTGGAGATGACAGAGCCAAAGTCAAACAAAACCCAACAGCGTGTAAAAACCATGTCACCAAGGAACCTGTCAAAAAGGACCTTTTCATGATGTGTTTTTTTTACTCCTCCCCAGCCAAGCAGTGGCTGAAACATGCAGAGAGCACAGCACGGAAGACATAGGGGAGTAATCCACTACTAGGGGGAGTAATCCACTACTAGGGGGGAGTAATCCACTAGTAGGGGTGGGTAAGTCTGATTTTATCACTGGGAAGTGGAATTGTGCTTCAGCAGCTCACCACAGGGTTTGTGACACCTTCTCCCAAGCCCTGGGGCTGTGGGGTGGATTTGACACCCCCTGCCCTGCCAGGGGCTGTGTCCCCTCATGGTCTCTCCTGTAGGACCTTGGTAATTCAGGCTGATGTCCCCAAGGGAGAGATGAAGAGGCTCCCCAGACTCAGGTGAACTCCACCATCTACGTGCAAGAGGGATCAGGGGTTGGGACTCTTAACCCTGCTCCCCAAAAACAGGGAGCCTCCAGCTCTGCACCCATAAAATCAGACTTACCCAGTTGTCCCAACACAGTTTCGTTGACTGATTTCCTTTTCTCTTTCTTCTCAGGACTATTTTTTCTACCATCTCTTCCTTTCCTCCTCGGGTCACTTTTCTTACCCTTTGTCTTCTTCCCAGTTTGTTCTGGCATTTTTTAGAGAAAAAGGAAAACTCTGTGTGAGACGAGGGATGCTGCAGTGAGCAAGTTCCCCTGGGGCACACCCCTGTGGAGCAGACCTGGGCCAGACCTGCAAACCACTCCGAGCCAGAGGGAGGACAGCAGCTGCTTTTTGGCTAATGGTAGCCCAAGGTCTCTGCATACTAAGAAAACCTGAATCCTGCAGGTTAAGTAAAAAAAGAGGTTTGGGTCCTGGATGTGAACTCGGCGTGGCTGGAGGAATGGAGACCCCACGGCCACCAGCGTGTCCTCCCAAACTGGGACTTTGGGGTGAGGACCAGCAGAAGGGATTAACCCCATGCCTTGCTCAGACACCTTCCAGGGGACACAGGGACCTCCAAACCCAGCCATGTGTCACCCACCACCGACCAGGGCAGCTCCTGGAGGGATTCAGCTGCAAAGCCAGCTTGACAGCCATGGCATCAGCAGCGTTTTCAAGCAGACCTTGATTTGATTTGACTTCTCGTGCTGGTAACTGCTCACACTTACACTGAAAAAAACCCCAAAGCTGTAAAACTTCAGCAGTGCAAGTAAATGGAGGAGGAGGGTGAGCAGCATTGCTGATGGAGAGCCAGGGATACAACTCTGAGCTATGCAGACTTGCAGCTAAAAAAATCAATATTTCCTAAATGGCTTTGAACTTCGACAGGATTTATTCCTCTTGGGTAAACAGGACAAATGCCCTGTAAAGTACAACTTGTATAGCCAAGCAAAATACTTCCAGTGGTTTTTTACCTACTCCCTTACGTCCCTCTCCACAGAAGTCCACACTCAAACTTCTATTTCTTTTCAAAGGGGGAAGGATGTTGCCCTGAAAGCAAAAAACGTGGGTGGCTGGTGGGAGCGGAGGAGAAACCTGCAGTCTGAGAGTCTGGCCTGGAGCTTGGCCCTGCACAAGCTCTGCAGCTACCAGAGCAAGGAGTTGAAGAAATAAATCAGTTTATTGTGTTGTCCAGCAGCAAACCCCAGTGGAGGGGCTGGGGGCTGGCTGGGGCAGGGGCAATAACCTCAGCTCTGCCCTCGCTAGGGCAGTGGAAAAGGGGAGGGGACTGGCACTGCACCTGCCTGAGCTGGCATACACAGGATTTCCAGTCCTGGGGCTGCCACACCAGGAGCCCCTCCTGCCCAAAGGCCTCACTGAAAGGAAGAAAAGGAAAAGCAAAATTGGCACTTGCTAGGTTCCTACCAAATACCCAGAGCAAGGCAGACGCCTTTTTTACTCCACTTACAAAACAAAAATCTGAACTCTGTTTAGACAGCACAATGAGGCTAAAGAGAAACCTCAGCAGCACTTTTTCAACAGGAATCTGTCAAAATAGTAGCTGAGTTTCAAAGCCAGACAGTGTTTACTTTCCACTCCATGCAAGAAAAATACAGGGGGAGAGGTGGGGTCGTTTTACACCGTCAGTTCTCACTGATTTTATGAAAAATCTCCTCCTTAAATGATCATTTGTCAGCGGGAAAAAACAAACCCCTGAAGTTTGGAGTTCTATGTGGGAGCCAGTCCAAAAAAAACCCTTGTGCCAAAGCCATCTTTGGAATCACTCCAGCAGAGTTTGGTCGATGGCTCCTGTAACAGCAGCTACAAACTGGCCTCATCCAGGGAAAACAACCCAGACTTCTCCTTTCCTCCAACAAACCTCAGGCAGGAAGAGCAGCCTGGCTGGGAGCAGTGCAGGGGGGATGCTACAGGAACCATTCCTCCCACTTTCAAACCAGTCAGTGCTTTGTGATGCTGGAAAACCCAGCAGTGAGTGACCCTCAGCTTTGGTCCTGTTGGGTGTTGAGCATCTTGAGCTCCAAGTATCACCACGTGGCAGGGAGGAGGCTCAGCAAATGTGGGGGTGATGGGAGCACTTGGCAGGATGGGGGTCTGCAATGGCTGTGTGTTTGGGATGGGATGATGGGATGGGACAGCCAGGAGCTGAAGCAGAAGAGAAGCAGCAGACAGCTTTCCATGGCTCTGCTGTGTGGCTGCCCTGGGTAGGGCAGCAGGAGGCTGAGCCCTGATCTCTTTTACACCATCTATCCCTCCCTGCTGTGCTGCTGGTGGCCCCAGAGCCTGCTCCTGCTGTCAGGCAGGGCCTGGACATGACTGTGAGGACCATGTGCTGCCTGGGGAGGAGATAAGTACTGATGCTGTGCTCTTACCTGCACTGTGACTGTCACAGCTAACTGGGCCATCCTCTCTTCCCACATTTGGGACTGCAGCTTATGGCCTGATGCCATGTCCTGGCAAGGGAACTCCTCCTGAGCTCAGGAGAACCTACACACCAACACCAAAAGGCACTCAGGTTCCTCAGGTCCCCCTGGCACGGGAAGGACCCAGGTGCCCAAACCACCTGGAGATCTCAGGAGCAAACTCTTGTCCCTGGACTCTTCCCAGCAGCAGCAGCAGCTTGCAGGAGCTGGGTCAGCAGCCCCTGCTCAGGCTCAGACCAAAAGCCCACCTTGCAGAGATGAGCAGCTCAACTCAGCAAGTTCAGAGCAGAAAACAAATGAGCCAGCACCAACTATTTGAGGCAGGAGAGCAGAACAATCTGCATCCAAAGGTATGAAGCAAGCCCACCACCTGCACACTGGTCACTGCCCACGTGCCCCTCACCAGGGGCTCACCTCTGGTCACTCACCTCAGGCAGAACAAACATCATGGCAATGGCAGTTGTGCTTTACCCAGGCTACACGTGGAAGGGCAACTGAGACCCCAAAAAGTGAGCAGCAGAGCCCTGACCCAGCCACCCATCACTGCTGGGATCTGTGCCAGGCTGGGGAGGGTCCTGGCTCACCCACCCCAGCCCTCCCCAGGAGGAGCTGCCCACTCCCACCCCACTGCTGCCTCAGAGAGCAGGTTGGGCATGCACCAGAGGTGGGACTCCCCGAGGCATTTGGGGAATGCAGCTCCCCAGGGGCATTTCCAGCCACCTAATACCTTGGCTGCAAGGGAGGGGAGCTCAAAAACCCTTCCTGGCAAACCAGCCTGCAGTTCCTGAGAGCTGCAAACCTGGGCTCACCCAGCTGAGCTCGAGAGCATCACGAGGTCCCCTGTGACCCCCCCCAAACCTGCCAAGCTGGCAGTGACAGCACATGGCATCTGCCTCCAGGATAGGAGTTTGTTGCTCCTGTCTTTTCTCCAGCCATTATTCCCCAGCTGGACCTCCTGCCTCACCACCCCAGCCAGCAGCATTGCTGTGGGAATGGCTCTTGGGGGGTGCACCCTCCAAGAACTGGTGGGAACAGCCAGGAACCCCCATTTGTGTGTGCCCAGGCTGGAGGTGACCCCTACTTCTGGTTCAGCAAGGACACAGGGAGCACCACAGTGTCACTGAGCTGTACCACAGGCACTGAGATTTCCAGCACCCACATCCCCCCTCTGAGCACACCCCGGGGTCCTGGCCCACCCTGTCCCTCACTGTCTCCTGGCTCTGGCCATGGAGAGGAACTTGCCCAGGCTCCCAGTCACACACCCAATTCCTCAGCCTCCAAAACCTTAGTGAAAGGAAACTTTTGTCAAGGGAAGCTCAGCCCAGACGGTTCCTGAAGAAACCCCAACCATGTGATGGCTTCAGATGCAACTCCAAAGCCACAAACACAACAGCCCTCGGAGGAGTCTGCCAAAGCACCAGATGCTGCTGCTGGAAAAACTCTCCTGCAGCCACAGGCTTTGGGCTGCCCTGCCACTGAAGGGAAAGGAGGAGGGAGAATGAGCTCTGGGCTCAGGCACTGCTTGTGCAAAAGGGGGAAAAAAAATAGGGCAGAAGGAAACCAACTTTATTTCAGCTCCTGAATAAAACTTGCCAGAGGCTTTGCATGCAGTGCTGTGATGCTCTGCACCAATAGGTGTGTGGGGCAGAGAACTAAAGAGCCTGGGCTCTAGGAGGAACAGACACCCCACCAGCAGCCTAAACTTCAGCTCCTGGCAGAGCCAAAGGCATCTGTAGAGGGCCCAAAGTGAGGGCTGCTGACCCATGCCAGGGAGCCAGCTGCTGTGGGTCACCCCCAGCACCAGCAGCCCCGTGCCCAGGAGCTGCCATCCCCCCCCAAAACGGCTCCATCTCCATGGAAACTGCCAAAACACTGCCCTGGCATCACCACCTAACCAACCCCTCGGTCCTTCTGACTGATTCCCAGAGAGGATTGAGAGGGATCTGTGAAAACAAGGAGCTCCAGCACTCCAGTCACCCAGGGTATGGCTTTATTGTGAGTTTCTGAACAACACTGGAGAGGGGTGAGGAGTCAAGAGATGCACTGTGCTTAATCCCCACTGCAGGGGAGGGGGCAGCTCTGGTGTCCTTGGGGTGGGGGAGCTGAGGCTTGGGCACGAGTCCTTGGCTTCAGAGGATGGCAGGGACAGTGTCCATGAGAACAAGCTCTGGGAAATGGTACTGACCTGGGTAAAGATCTTTCTCAATGAGCTTCATCTGGAGGTGGAAGATCTGCTCCTGGAGTTTACAAATGGTGTGTTTCATTTTCTCCCGTCTCGTCACCATGTAACAGAGATTTCTAACCTACAGAAACACAAGAAACAGTGTCTGGTTTAGGCAGAGTCAAAGTTGGGTCCCCCCAAGCTGTGCTGCTGCTTCTGCTGCCCAGGATTCAATCCTCTTCATCTCACCATCCTCTGCACTGCACCAAAACTCCTAGCAGGGCTCTTTGGATGGGCCAGGACTAGAGGGGAGGGATCTTGATCCAAAGTGGATACTAGATCTGGGAAAACCCACACAGTGAATGATCCAAAGCCTAAATGCCTCTGTTCTGGCTGATAACCAGGACCCTGGAGGGGACAAGGGATGCTGGCTGGCCTCTCCAGCACAAGCACTGGGCACACAGAAGCTGTGAGGAAACAGTGTCTCCAGAGATGTGGCTTTGCTGACCCCAGCAGCACCAAGACTCCCTGCAAAGCCCTGCAGGTCCCTGCCAGCAGGCCAGGGGCAGCCACCCCAAAGCAGAGCAGCCACCTCAAGAGACCCCAAGCACAGCTCCACCAGCCTCTGCCCTGCCACCACCCAGCAGCAGCGAGCTGGGGCCACCCTGGGGACCCCAGGCAGGGGTGCAGGGAGGATGCTGCATGTGGGGGAGACTCTCTTCAGTCTTCTGCCCATGAACAGTGAGCGAGTGACTCTTCTGACCTCTCCCACCAAAGCCCTGAGTGCACGGGCAGGGTTGAGCCCTCTGGCATCAGTGCTTTGGAGGGCATAAATCCAGCCTGCAAACCAGAGTGTGCCAGGAGGCAAAGGGGGCTGAGCACGCTGCTGATCTGCCCTGCTGAGACTGGAGGAACTCCTGGGACCTGGTGCAGCACAACCCTCAACTCTGCTGCTGCTCACCAGCACACAAAGGCAGCAGAGAGCCAGGAGGAGCAGCTGGATTGTGCTGTGGACACACAGGCTGTGCTTAATCTCCTCTTAATCCTCACCGACCTCACGAAGGAGTTAAGGTACCTGAAGGATTGGGGAAATCTCAGAAGGGAAGATGCTGGGGAAGGAGCATTTTTTGATGGAGTTCTGCCAAGGTCCAGCAGACACATCTGAGCTGCCCTGGGTCAGTACAGCAGTTCTCCTCCCCAAAATGCTCCTTTGGCAGGGAGGGAGAGACCCTCAGCCCACAGCCAGTGTGAGGAAGGGGCACAGTGGGAACAGAGCTGCAGGTAGGAGTATTAATACCTACTAAAATACCTATTAAAAATACTTAATACCTATTAATGAGAGGAAATGGCCTCAAGTTGTACCAGGGGAGGTTCTGACTAGATATTAGGAAGAATTTCTTCCTTGAGAGAGTAGTTGGGCACTGGAACAGGCTGCCCAGGGAGGTGGTGGAGTCACCATCCCTGGAGGGTTAAAAAAAATGAGTAGATGAAGCACTTGAGGCTGTGGTTTAGTGGTTAGAGAGATGATGGGCTGGAGGTTGGACTTGCTGATCCTAGAGGTCCTTTCCAACCCTAGTGATTCTATGATTCTACCCTGATGGGCTGAGCTCAGAGCCTTACAGACCTGCCTGTTGCCCTAAAGCAAACTACAGCCAATAGAGCAAACCACAGCAGCTGGTGCAGCAGCTCCCTTCCCCAAACCTGGCCCCTGCACACAGTTACTCACTCACACTTGCTCCACACCCACCTGCAGACCACTGGTGCATTTTGTCCCCATTCAAGACATTTTCTTAACCGAGGGGGGAAAGCCCTAAAGGCAAAGGGGAAAGCACAAGAGAAAAAAAACACTCGTGTGAGCAACCCTGCTCCTCACACAGGGCTGCTGAGAGCATCCCCCAGCAGCCCCAGAGGACAGAGCTACCGTGTGATGCCCACTGTCACCATGGCTGCAGTGGGCAAACAGCAGAGCAGAAGATGCTCAGGGCTGCTAACAGGATTTGACAAGGTTTCCTCAGCTTCTTGCTGCTGCCGAAGAGCAAAACTGCCTGCAAGGAGGTGAGGAGGAGGTGGCTGAGTGGAGGCACAGGCAGTAATGTCTGGGGGTCTGTCCACGCTCATGGGTGACCCCGATGTCTCCAATTCCTCCCCCTCCTCATCCTCAAACCCCTCTCTGCAGAGGAAGGCTGGGGTATGTCCAGGTTTGGGGGACTGTCCCTGTGGGGTCAGGAGGCTTTGTGCCTCTCAGTGACAGACAGGACCTGTCCCATGCTCAGTTGACATCTGCCACCAGAGGCTGTGGAGGCAGCAGGATGACCCTGGCCACCCCCTGATGGCATCACTTTTACCCAGGGAAGGTTGGGAACCACTCAAGAATGCAGGAGGAAAAGCTGCTCTTTCCTCTGTTGAATCCCCTAGCTGTAAATATAAAGCAGTGAGCTAGACACTGTGTATTTTACCACATTCTCTCTTCTTTTTTTTTTCTCTTTCTGGATTGGAGAAAACATCCAACTAAAATGTCTTTTTGAGGAAAAAAAAATCCTGCCTCTGGCAACCTGCCTCTCAAAGTGTTTGGTGGAGTCTCTTCTCTATGATTTGATATTCCTGCAAGAAAACATTGCTCTGCTCTGCTTTGAGGCTGCTGGTATTTACACACACACTTACACAGCTTAACACCACCCAGAGCTGCTTCCCCAAGCCAAGCTTAGTAAGAAATACTGGAAACTATAGGGTTTTGTTAAAACTAAATAATCAATCTTTGGAAAAAAAAGCTTTGAAAAAAAAAAAAGAAGCAAAGAGGGTTTAAAAAAGACAAAAAGAAAACCAAAGGGGACTGTATTCATATTCCCAGGTAACAGGTTTTATTTGTTTGCAGTGGGAAGTGCAGAGCTGGCAGTGGTGAGGAGGTGGCAGAAGGAGACACCACCACCCTGGCTGTCCCCATGTCATCTGTCCCACTGCTTCTGACCCAGGGACCACCACCAGCCCCCCAGTCACAACCATTTCTGCCACCTTAATTAAAATAGCACCAGGATGGCCTGTGGGCACCCTCTGAAGGCCACCCCTCCAGGCTGCTCTCCTCCAGCCCCTCCTTGCTGTGACACTTCAGCATTTGCAAGTGAAAGGTGGTGACAGACAGGATCAGATACCTGGGGTGTGCTGGCAGCAATGGGTTTTAAACCCCTACCACCCCTCTGAGCCCTGGACTTTGATCTGATCAGTGTTTATTGTTCCTCCTCTCTGGCTGAAGAGCAAACAAACAGCTCTTCCAGGGCTCAGCAGTGAACCCTGGCAGGGAGTTGCTAAGCAGAGGCTGAACGCCGATGGGAAATGACCCCACGAAGCCCAGAGGCAACTCTGGAAAATGAGAAATATGGTAAAATGTCTCGTTTTGACACAAAGAAATCAAAGAGAAGCTGCCGTGCCCTGGTTTATGACCCAGGCAGTTCCTGGAGCTGAGTGCTACACCCAGAGATGCAGAGTGGTTCACTGCAGCCAAGGGAGTCAAGCTGGGAGCAAGTGGAAGCAGAGGCAGGAGGAGCAGCCTGCTTTAGATTGACAATAGAGAGAAGCAGATGAGGGGAGAAAAGGGAGCTGAACCTGTTGCCCTTGGATCCAGCAGCTGCAGCCTGTTGCCCACAGCTTGGTGCTGGTGGCACCAGCCCAGCCCAGCCCAGAGATGGAAAGGTGATGCAGCAAGGCAGGACAGACTGGCAGGGATGTATGCAGGGCTGAAAGCTGACAGGGCCACAGAAAAGAGATCAGTAGCTTGAAATCCAATTCTTTATAAAGAGGAGAGGGCTCTGAGACCCACAGGGGGTAGTGCAGAGAGGGACCAGGGTGGGCTGGCTCAGGGTTGAGACCCTGCCTGGACATAACACCCTCCTCACCCTCACCACCCTTCTCCCCACGGGCTGAATTATGATGAGAGCCACAGCAGCTTGGAGAGAGGGCTCAGGGGTGTGAAGGGGCAGCACCTCCATCTCCAGGGAGCAGCATGGCCCCTGCAGCATCCTCTTCCCCCCCACCACCACCCCCACCAGCTCAAAGCTGTTTTCCTCCTTCTTTACCAGCTCCTTGAGCCCTTCCATGGCTTTGTACCCCAGTGGGGCTCTCAGGAGGGGACCCAAGAGGGGCCATGGTCTTGTCCCTCTGGCAGGAGCAGGACAGGGGGCACAGGGCCCAGGCAGGGCTCAGGTTTTAAGCACAGGAGGAGAAGGAGCTTGGCCCCTGCCCGGGGGGCTCAGCAGCTCTGCCCTGGTCATCCCCTGCCCCGTGCTGTGCCCGTGTCCCCCCTCCAGCAGGGACTCTATGGGAGCTGTCCCCTCCCTGGCTGCTCACTGTCACCTCACTCCAGGTGCTGAGTTTCTTCCCTTGTGCTTCCTCCCCTCACTGCCTCTCATCTTCACCACTCCTCCTCCTCTTCAGCCTGCCCCTGCCCCGTCCCTGCTCCTTCCCTCCTGCAGCCACGACAGCCAAATCTGCCGAGTGAGCCCAGCTCAGGGGGAGGGATGGGGGGTCTGGCACTGCTGCTGCTCCACCAACACTTGATCTACCCCAAAAAGCTGCCGTGGAGGTGGCTGCTCCCTCCCCTCAGCAAGGACATGCTGCGGGGAGCTGGGGGGGCGCCACCCCCCCG